ATTATCGTGATTTATTCTATCAATCAATTTCTAGTCTGTGGATTCTTATCAGTCAATAAAAGCGTTTTCCATTAACCTGAAAGCAGCTAGTGATCAAATGGCAGGGACTAGATTATCTAATAAATAGCAAACACCAAATCCCCACATTAACAACGGTTAAATCACATGACATGTATTTCATCGCCAGCACTTTACAGCTGATATATGTCCTTCTCACAGAGATGGCAAAAGTACACACATCCTTTACTCAAGTAGAAGTACAGATACTCGTGTTTAAAAATACTCTGTTGAAAGTAGAAGTACTGACTAAACTTCTTTACTCAAGTCAAAGTAAAGAGGCTTTGAAATGTACTTCAGTAAAAAGTACCCATAACTAGCAGCTGTTTTAAAGAGTACCTGACCTCCCTTTATATCAAAAGAACAATAATGTCATTGTTAGCTAATGAATGTTTCCATGCTGAACAACGGCAACATGACAACGTTTTCATTGGTCCCTCTTCTTTAGAGAAGACCAGGAAATGATGGATACACAGATCGTGTTCAAATCAATAGGCACGCAATGACTCTAAATAATAATGATCACGCCACCAAACACACATTCAAACTAAAGGAACCAGCCTGTTTGGAAAATGTGAGAAGGAGAAATTACAGGTATTTGAGTTCAACATGTAAGAAGTAGAAAGTACAGGTATTTATTTGTGTTCAAAATGAGAGAAGTAGAAAGTACAGGTATTTGTGTTCAACATGTAAGAAGTAGAAAGTACAGGTATTTGTGTTCAACATGTAAGAAGTAGAAAGTACAGGTATTTGTGTTCAACATGTAAGAAGTAGAAAGTACAGGTATTTGTGTTCAACATGTAAGAAGTAGAAAGTACAGGTATTTGTGTTCAAAATGTGAGAAGTCAAAGTAAAAAGTCGTCAGAAAAATAAGTAGTGGAGTAAAGTACTGATACCAGAAAAATGTACTTAAGTACAGTAACAAAGTATTTGTACTCCACTACTTCCCGCCTCTGGTTAAATCTAATCACATGACATGCATTTCATGGCCAGGCCTTCACAGCTGATAGATCTCTTCTTCTACTGCCAGGTTTCCTGCAGCTGTCTATAAATAATTATCACATTATGGAGCAGACTTCAGATTCAATGAGCCGCGCTGCGCTGGCTGAAACTCGAGCGCTAACGTTTCCTCTATGAATGTGAACATTGTCCAGTGACCTTTTGTGCGTGTCCCTCGGTCTGCCAACACTTTAATGCCAGATGCATTCTGGGTCCTCGATGGAGGGCCGCGAGGCAGAGAATAGCTGCCGTCACTCTGCCAGAAAAAAGCAGTTTAATGGAGCCTCCCCGAGCGAATCAGATCCCAAAAGCTCAGAGGAAGAGTCAGTCCAAGGGCGGCTATTAACAGACAGTGTGAAGCCTGGCTTTTTATTATAGTCCATGTTGAATACCCCAACGTTTTATGATAGAAATGTATAATAAGGGTTCCCAGCACATTGAAACTACTGGACTCTAACTTGGGTAATTTGCACAATTAGCACAAGTTGCGTTAATAAGCCTAGACACAAGCAAAAAAATGGCTTGTGCGATTTGGAACATTTTGGAGTGGCTTTTGAGGTTATTAAGAATCAATTTCTGACATTTTTAGGGTCAAAGAGTCCCCTAAAACTTTAAAACCGACTCAAAATTAATCAAAACAGCCCACAGAGAATACAAATATGGCCACTTTCTGATTAAAACTGAAATTTCTGACCCTGAAAATATCAGAAATTCATTAAACATCCTCAATAACCCACAAAAGCACTCTGAAATTGTCGCCTATGTTGAATACCCCAAAGTTTTATGATAGAAATGTATAATAAGGGTCCCCAGCACATTGAAACTGCAGGACGCTAACTTGTTGGGCAATTTGCACAATTAGCACAAGGTGCATTAATTTGCATTAATAAGCCCAGACACTAGCAAAAAGAATGGCTTGTGCGATTTGGAACATTTTGGAGTGGCTGTGGAGATTATTGAGGATGCTGAATATATTTCTGACATTTTTAGGCGGTTTTGATTCCCCTAAAAGTTTAAAATCGACCCAAAATTCATCAAAACAATCCACTGGGAGAACAAATACAGCAACTTTCTGATTAAAACTGATATTTTGGACCCTGAAAATGTCAGGAATTCATTCAATACATTCAATAACCCACAAAAACACTCAGAAAGCCTGGCCTTGTATTATAGTCTATGTTGAGGATGCTGAATCAATTTCTGAAATGTTTAGGATACAAAATGGCAGATTTAAGTCCCAAGGAGAACAGATATAGCCACTTACTGGTTAAAACTACTATTTCTGATCCTGAAAATGTCAGAAACGTATTCAAAATCCCTCGATAACCTCCAAAACGACTACAGAATTGTCCAAATCGGCCAAGTCATTTTTAAGCTATTGTCCGGAAGGCTACGCAACTTATGCTCATTCTACAAATTGCCAGCCCAACATAATGCAAGTTAGCATCCGGCAGTTTCTATGTGCTGAGGACCCTACTATACATTTCTATCATTAAACCTGGGGGTACTCATCATTTCTGGGTTCACAACAGGACTCTATGAGCTGGTAAACAGACTATTAAGAAGTCTGGATCCTTTAGCAATGATAAGGCTTTCATTGCATTTTAATTTAATGTTTGTGTAAACGTTATTTAACCCAATTTAGTTTAACATGTAATTAGCTCCAGGCTTCTCACTTTTCATTTCAACCTTTTCCAGGTTGCAACGGCATGACATCTTAAATGATAGTGGTGTTATTATTATAACCAGTTAACACTTTAAGGATCCAGGTATGGTAACTTCTGCATTTTGACATCTACAAATTTGAATGCCCAGCTTGGTTGATGGGTCTCTTAACTTTAACACTTTTTACACAACAGGAGTCTATGATCTGGTAAACAGACTATTAAGAAGTCTGAGCAGGCTTCTCACTTTTCATTTCAACCTTTTCCAGTAGGGTATGACATCTCAAATGGTTCCATAGTGGTGTTATTACTCTAACCAGTTAACACTTTAGGTGCGACGGAGCACAGAGTAATTCCTGCAATGTTCTCCCCCACCCATTGTGTGTCTATTTGAGTCGTTTTTATGTTGTTTCTTCGATTTACTACCCTTGTAGAAACATTAATCGGAAAATACATGGCCATGGGTATCCTTCCTAATTCCACAAACCTCTCTGCCTGTCTGCTAGGGTCAAAACCTCGGAGCTGTTTGAGAGGTGGAGGAACCTGCAGGTGTGTAGGTGGGCGCAGAGCAAGGAGGAGACCAGCAACTTCAAGTAAGAGTTACTCAGAAACAACCAGAGATGGCAAAAGTACACACGTCCTTTACTCAAGTAGAAGTACAGATACTTGTGTTTAAAGATACTCTGGTGAAAGTAGAAGTACTGACTAAACTTCTTTACTCAAGTCAAAGTAAAGAGGCTTTGAAATGTACTTCAGTAAAAAGTACCCATAACTAGCAGCTGTTTTAAAGAGTACCTGACCTCCCTTTATATTAATAGAACAATAATGTCATTGTTAGCTAATGAATGTTTCCATGCTGAACAACGGCAACATGACAACGTTTCCATTGGTCCCTCTTCTTTAGAGAAGACCAGGAAATGATGGATACACGGATCGTGTTCAAATCAATAGGCACGCAATGACTCTAAATAATAATGATCACGCCACCAAACACACATTCAGACTAAAGGAACCAGCCTGTTTGGAAAATGAGAGAAGTAGAAAGTACAGGTATTTGTGTTCAACATGTAAGAAGTAGAAAGTACAGGTATTTGGGTTCAACATGTAAGAAGTAGAAAGTACAGGTATTTGTGTTCAAAATGTAAGAAGTAGAAAGTACAGGTATTTGTGTTCAACATGTAAGAAGTAGAAAGTACAACAACTGAAAAATGAAAATGAAGAATTTAAACACATGGGTATAATGGATTCATAGAAAGATGAACTAAGAATGTCCAGAACTT